CCCCAAAACCCCAAAACCCCATTGGACTATATTTTGAGTAAAAGCATAAATACTAGTAATAATCTAGGAATTAAATCAATATTGTTAACAGCATGTTAAATCCAAAAATTTTAATTAATTAATTAGATCTACTGCATTAAAATCAAGCAATAAATAATGTCAAATAACCCACAAAAGCAGCAAATTTTGGTGCTATTGAGATTAAAATGAAACTTTTGAATTACCACTAATCGTGGATTATAATTCTAGTCGTTAATTTTAATTGTTCATTAATGATTAAATGCTTTCAGAGTTAATTGCAATAATTCTCTTTTATTCTGTTCTCTATCATAGGTAAATGTATATATACTTAATTTCCCATCTGTCTCTCTCTTTTGTTCAAGACAATAAATATTTCCACAACGACTATAATTTGATTTTTCGAGGATTGTTTATGCATCTAGAGTTGAGCAGTTTATAATACCAATACTTCTTGAATCTCTAAACAAAAGATATGGAAGTTTATCTCCAAAACCATCTATTTTTCTCAGAGCATTATAATTTATGCTTGTTGAAGGATTTTATATGTCTTTAATGGCTTTTGGATTCAGCCTATTGAAGATCTTAATATTTTTATCGATAACGCAGACAACAAAGCAATTCAATGAAATTTACTAGACGCAAAATACTGACTATTGTATGAAGTTATCTTCCTCTTTCAATTCCTTGATTGTTATCTTCTACTTCTAGATTTAAATAAGTTGTTCGAGATTTTTTTCTTAATAATCATCATCATTTAGAATGTTAATTTCAACAAATCCAAGTTTACCATCTTTGTATGCATTACCAATTAACTAAGCAAACCCTAAGCATAGTTGATTCTTATTAACAACCTATACTGCATCTTAGATGCTCATTCCGCAAGTGTGTTTGTAGGTGAAAATAATTTACATTTGTTAGACATTATAGAATTCAATATATCCATCTTTTTCAAGGAATAAAATATATGTGCTTTTGTGACCATTTTTTAAATCTTGAGGAATGTAGGGTAAAATTTTGAGAGGAATTTACTCGGTTTTTATCACCATCTCTTGTTTGTATTCCTTTTGATCATATATTGCCACAGAATCATTATTTAATCCCAAATAGATGAGTTCTTGGTAGATTAGTATAGAAATAGGCTCCGATGGAATCTATAGTTAGCCATTATCAGAAAAATCTTGGCTGTTATATGACTATAACATTAAATCGTTTTACCCCGTGAATAAATTTCCATCATTAGAATTGATGAATATTATTGTCTATTTTTTATCGCTGTTGAGTGAATACTAATTCTAGCTTTCTATGCATTTAATGCAAATATCTTAGAAATCTTTATTCAACTTTTTCAATCCACCAATCATAATTTAAGGGTCTGTAGAGATAATTTCCATACTATTATACAACTCTTAAGCTGTAATATATTTTTCTTTGCTTAAGTTTAGCCCTTTCTAATCGTTTAATTTTGATGCTAGTATATACCCCTCTTTGTTTATCTCATAGGTTGGTGTATTAGGTTAATTTAGACTAGTATTTATTTGCATTTACTCATTTTGTTCTGCATTTTTTAAGCTATTACTTCTGTCATAGTGTTGATTCTAATTGTTTATAAATAATCCTTCTGTTCCCTAAGTCAAGTTACTGAATTCTACATTTTGGGGTATGATACTCTCAGTTAGTTCAAGACTCTTATCATATGGTGAATTCACATGTATTGCCTATCTGCTTTCTGAAGGATTAAGTCTCTAATGATCATATTGCATAATACTAGATTGAAGTGTGTTTTTAGTCTCTTCATTAGATTAATTTCCTAAATGATTCGACTTATGGTTAATTTGCTGCTATAATTCAAATTTCATCACAGAATCTTATTAATAATTCTTATCAGACTCTTTTTAAATATTCTGTATTTGCTCAACTTCAGCATTTGAAACAATTCTCTATTGTTCTGAAACTAATTATTATTTTAACAAGTTCTAAGTATTTGAATTTGTAGATTTGCTAATGATTAGGATTTATTATAAGTCAGTCTTAATTTCTGATAATTCTTTAAACAACTATATATTTTTTTACTGGCTCTCAATCTCAAACTAATTTATTTAATTCTCATTATTTGAAGGGACTGTCTATGATTCTCTCATTGAGCTGTTAACGTTTTTAAATTTAAGTTAATTTTTGTTTGTTAATGCTGGAAATGAGTTAGTTTCAATGAGATCAATAGATTATTGAAATATTTAAAAGTTGCATACAAGGCTCTCAAACTGAGGAGAATTTTTTCTTTATTGATTCTCAGGATCATGATTTTTTTCAGATTAAAAGGATAGCTAAAAGAGATCATTTAGTTCATCATCTACTTTAGAAATTATTAATCTAAGGGTCTGCTTGAGGATTCTTATGAAATGCTCGATACTACCGATAGTATTCTTGATTAATATCAATGTTTTTTTGAAGTAGTTATCTATTGCTTGGTTGACTCAGAAACCTTTATCTGAGCCATTTTCTATTGTTAAAATATCTTGACAAGTAGTATCATATAGAGTCAGAGTTTTTGAATGATATTTATGCAAATCATCTTGCTTTAAATTGCTAAGTGCGCTCATCCTCTATTTTAAAATGAAATTATAATCTTTCTTGAGTATTATTAATTTGAAACAAAGAATTAGAGATGGCTAAAAGCATTAAATCTGCAAGAATTTCAAGTTTTAAGAAGATTCAGTTAGTATTTAAGTGCTTAAGATCTGTTTCTTTACCTATATAAAAGATTCTAGATAGGTTTAAATCAGATTAGTAATGCCATCAATTTTTAAGTTGATGATCGATCCATTCTCATGTTAAATTAAAATGTATCAAATGAAGAATCAAAGATTTTAAAGAAAGAATATCTTGCTCTAAATGAATTTTCATAAGTTTATTTTGATGGACTTAACATATGCTTAGCTTGAAAGATTCAAGTTGGATCATAAAAATGATCAGCATGACATTTGATTACTAAAACATTGCATCACGATCAATATGTTGATGAGGAGGAAGGAGTCTGATATTTTAAAAGATTAAAGGATAATAAGAATCTTAAAGGGATTGAGATATTGATTTAAAAGACTGAGCTCTCTCAATATGAAGCTAATAAATAAAACGTACCATTTATTCAATATAAAACAGCGATAATAATAATAAAATTAAGGCAAGGTACAAAAAATTGACCAATTTCAGTTTAAAAATTTTCTGATAAAAATACGATGGATGATAGACTTGAATAAGAGATTATTAAATCATTTATTTATTTCTATTTTATACATTTATACTAAGATAAATTAAACCGTGGGGTTTTGGGGTTTTGGGGTTTTGGGG